TGGCTAAGCTGGTCAAGCTGGAAATTCGAAAATCGAATTGAATCGTGCCTTTAGAATCGAAAATGTAATCGAATCGAGGATTTGGAGGATTGTGACACCCTTAATAAACATATTTACTGTAATCATTACTATTGGACTGTGAAGAGACTTTCAACCAGCACAACAAAAAAATGTTTCTGAGGACAATCACCTACTGCACCTTTAAGGAACTCTGTGGTAGTTTATTTACACACTTCTGTTGTAAAACCACAATATTACACTTGTATGAGTGTGATATACTGTATAACAGCACGTCATTTAACCTCAGAGTTCTTTGGTTTGGCAGTGAGAGCATAGAGTTTACCATGATCAACAAATGAATGTAGCGCAATATATGAAATTCAGCATCCCAGAGTGATGCAACACTGATAATTACCCAGAATCAAAAATAAGGCTCACATTTGCATATCCTGCAGTGAAATAAAGGCAGTTGAGCTAAGCATTATCCTACAGTCACGATATCACAGTCATTTTATATTCATTGCTTTCGGGGCAAAGCAGCACATTAATGGAGTTTTTAAAAAGGGATTTAAGAGAAACACTGCATCGCACCGCACCGCATCTGCCTTATAATTTAACTTCAAGAGCTCATTTTTATGAAGAAATTCATGGAACAGCTCACCAAAACATGTACAGTCATCATTTACACAATCTCACACTTCTGAACACACTCTTTTAAAAGTTGTGTGAATCAAAAATTTGCGGTAACGTTTTAAAACCTGAATTAAAGGGTTAGTTCACTCAAAAAATTTACATTTTCCTCACTATTTAATCTCCTGAAGCGATTCCAAACCTTTACGACATTAAGTTAAACATAAAAGAAGATAGTTTGAAGAATGCTGTAAACCAGTACCCATTGACCTCCATTGTAGGAAAAACAAATACAATGGAACTTAGTGGTTACAGGTTTCCAGCATTCTTCAAAATATCTACCTTTGCGTTTAACAGAAGAAACTCTTAAAGGTTTGAAACAAGACTTGAAACAAGTGAACTACCCCTTCAACACTTGCAGCATCATAAAAAGGTCAAAGTCTATGATTTTAACCCTCTCAAGGCAGGCGTTGCTGATTTGCAACAGTTAAAAGCATAGATTTCGCCTGTTTCTAAAATTTTATTTGAGCCTGAAAGGGTTAAAGGACTTTTATTGACCTCAGCGCACAGTCATGCTTGTCTGTAGTGCTACGAAACATTTACGTAAACATAAATGTGGCCATTATCTTCTTCATGTCATTTCAAGTTCTGCATTATCTATAACTATATATAAGACTCAGCAATGAGGAATTAGAGAAAAGCAATGCACAATATGGATATATCTGTTATTTTAATATGCGTACGTGTTTGTGTGTGGCAAACAGTCTTGAAATTTCATGATTTCCTCATACAGATAAATAGAATAGCCAGATATATGACTGCTGAGGGTACAGTTTCTTAGGTAGCACCAGTTTTAAGCCAAACTAACCAACAGCATAATGCAAAGAAACACAAATACTGCGATTCTTAAATCAATGCACGATGTGTCAAGTGTCTGTTTTACTGGTTTTGGTTTTGGTTTCTAGCACCATGCACCACTAGTTCTATCTATCCATCTATCTATTCGTCTGTCCACCCATCCGTCCTATGGGTGGACAGACAGACAGACAGACGGAAAGATGGATAGATAGAACCATATAAAATCAAATGACAGACAGACTGACAGATAGACAGATGGATACTGAAATCAATCCCAAAGCTATGAAAGCTCATCTGTATAGTGAGATTAACTAAGCTAGACTGCCGTTTTTAATGAAGAATAGTTACAATGGAGAATGAAATGTTGGTATTTTATAGGCTGATATGGCTAGGAACTGGCGTAATAATCAAGGAACTTTCCATACCATAACAGTTTATCAAAACTCTTTCATAATTTTTGTGCGAGAAGCTAACGGTCTAATCCGATTCAATGATCTATGCTAAGCTAAGCTAAGAGTGCTCCAGCCAGACCCAGTGACTGGATAAAATCAACCGCTTAAGGGGTTTTACAACTAGGAGAGTTATAAAAATGAGCTTTAAAAAAAAGAAAAAGTGTAGTGTTCCTTTAAGAATGTGAACATAAACGCACTCACGGACTTTGATTTGGATCTGACATCAAACAAAACTATCACACAACCACTTTCCCCCCTATATTTCATATCATTTTTTTCCAGCATCAAAGTTGTGGTCAGAGAAGGAAGTAAAGATGCATGGAAAAGAACTAAAATGTTGCTGTTTTCTAGGCTGATATGGCTAGGAACTACACTCTCATTTTGGCGTAATAATCAAGGAACGTTGCTGCCGTACCATGGCTGCAGCAGGTGCTTTTAATAATAGTACTATTATAAAAACTCTTTGGTCATATTTGAGTGAGATGCTAACGGTCTAGTCCGATTCAATGATCTATGCTGAGCTAAGCTAAAAGTGCTCCAGCAAGACCCGGAGATTGGATAAATAGATTATAAAAATGGTAAAAAAAAAAAAAAAAGAGAGAAAAACTGTTAAAGGGGTTTTACAACTAAAAAGAGTTATAAAAGGAGTGCATTTCCAAAACCAAACTAAAATGGTGGTATTTTTTAGGCTGCAATGTCTAGAAACTATACTCTCATTCTGGCGTAATAATCATGGAACTTTGCTGCCGTACTATGGCTGCAGCAGGCGCAATAAGAAAAGCTTCAAATAATAGTCAAATTTTATGGTCATTTTTGAGTAAGATGCTAATGGTCTAATTGGATTCAATAATCTATGCTAAGCTAAGCTAAACGTGCTCAACGGTCGAAATGCTAACGGTCTAATCTGATTCAATGGCCTATGCTAAGCTAAGCTAAAAGTGCTCCAGCCAGAACCACAGATTGGATAAATGGATTTGAAAAAAATTGTAAAAATTCAACTGTTAAAAAGGTTTTACAACTAAAAGAGTTATAACAGGAGCCTATTTCCAATACAGAACTAAAATGTTGGTATTTTCTAGGCTGATATGGCTAGGAACTTCACTCTCATTCTGGCGTAATAATCACGGAACTTTGCTGCCGTATATGGCTGCAGCAGGTGCAATAAGAAAAGCCGTGCTTCAAATAATAGTACTATTATCAAAACTCTTTGATCATTATTGAGTGAGATGCTAACGGTCTAATCCGATTTAATTATTTATGCTAAGCTAAGCTAAAAGTGCTCCAGCTAGACCTGAAGATTAGATTAATTATAAGAAATTCAACTGTTTAAAAGCTTTAACAGCTAGGAGAATTGTCAAATGAACCTATTCCCAAAGAAATTAAAAGAAAAAGTGGAGTGTTTCTTTAAGAAAGTGACTGTAAACGCACTCACTGAACTTAATTTGGGCCTGATGTAAAACAAAACCATTACGCAACCACATTCCCACTATATCTCATATTATTCTTTCTTCAGCATCAAAGTCGTGATCAACAAAGTAAAGAAGCATGCAAAGAACTGAAATGTTGATATTTTCTAGGCTGATATGATTAAGAACTGGTGTTATAATCAAGGAACTTTAATCAAAACTCTTTGGTCATTTTTGAATAAGATGCTAACGGTCTAATCTGATTCAATTATCTATGCTAAGCTAAGCTAAAAGTGCTCCAGCCAGACCCAGATATTGAATAAATGGATTATAAAAACGGTAAAAATTTAACTGTTAAAGGGGTTTTACAACTAAATGAGTTATAAAAGGAGCCTTTTTCCAATACAGAACTAAAATGTTGCTACTTTCTAGGCTGATATGGCTAGAAACTACACTCTCATTCTGGCCTAATAATAAAAGAACTTAGCTGCTGTAACATGGTGCAGACGGCGCAATAAGAAGAGTCAAGCTTTAAATAATAGTACAGTTATTTCATCTTTTCATTTCTTTAGTCATTTTTGAGCATGATGCTAACGGTCTAATCTGATTCAATTATCTATGCTAAGCTAAGCTAAAGTGCTCCAGCCAGACCCAGAGAATGAATAAATGGATTATAAAAATGGTAAAATTTCAACTGTTAAAGGGGTTTTACAACTAAATGAGTTATAAAAGGAGCCTTTTTCCAATACAGAACTAAAATGTTGCTATTTTCTAGGCTGATATGGCTAGAAACTACACTCTCATTCTGGCCTAATAATAAAAGAACTTAGCTGCTGTACCATGGTGCAGACGGTACAATAAGAAGAGCCAAGCTTCAAATAGTATTACAATTATCAAAACTCTTTGGTCATATTTGAGTGAGATGCTAACGGTCTAATCCGATTCAATGAACTATGCTAAGCTAAGCTAAGCTAAACGTGCTCCAGCCAGACCTGGAGATTGGATAAATGGATTATAAGAAATTCAACTGTTTAAGAGCTTTTACAGATAAAAGAGTTGTAAAATGAACCTATTCCCAAAAAATTTAAATAAAAAGTGGAGTGTTGCTTAAGAATTTGACTATAAACGCGCTCGGTGACTTAATTTGGGCCTGATGTCAAACAAAACCATCAAGCAACTTTGCTGTCGCACCATGGCTGCAGCAGGCGCAATAAGAGGAGTCAAGCTTTAAATAATAGTACAGTTATTTCATCTTTTCATTTCTTTAGTCATTTTTGAGCAAGATGCTAACGGTCTAATCTGATTCAATTATCTATGCTAAGCTAAGCTAAAAGTGCTAAACCCAGACCCAGAGAATGACCCTTCAAAGGGTTTTACTACTAGGAGAGTTATAAAATGAGCCTATATCCAATAAAAAAAGAAAATGTGGGGTGTTCCTTTAAGAATGTTAATGTAAACGCACTCGCTGACTTAATTTGGGCCTGATGTCAAACAAAACCATCACGCAAACCACTCTATTATTATTCTTGCAGCTTCAAAGCCATAATCAGCATAATCTAAAGATGCATGAAAAATAGCCGAGCAAAAACTCTTCTTTTCTGTTGCATAGAAAAACAATAAAATAAAAGAGAAGTCCGCTGAGAAGATGGTTTACCTTGTGCTGCAGAGCTCGCAGGAGTCAAACGCTCTCTACCCTTTACTCTCCCTCCTCGTCTGCTTTTCTCCAATTCAGCCAAACAAGAGCAAGATCTGAAAACAAAAGGGTCGGCGGGTTAAAAATTAGCCACTTGTTCCAACTTACATCAACTGACATTGAAATGCAGTGGAAAATTACAGAGTCCAGACGCCGAGCATGGAAAATCCCTAAATTTATTGCACAAAAGGGGGAAAGGCAGGCTTCTGAAAATTTCCACGAAAAAAAAAATTCTATTCTTAGATTAGCAAGAGTCGGAGGGCAGAGTGTGGAGAAAATCCTGACCAAAACAGGCCTGAGTGCATGCAGCTCCCGACCGAACCATTTACAACTTGTTAAAAAAAGAAAGAAGGAAAAAGGAAAAAAAGAAAAGACCAACGCAGCATAAAAAGAGCATTAAAAATGCAGTATATCTGTTGCTTTGACATTTACGTTAGTTTTTTCCTCCCTCAAGAAAGCGGAGTTGAAAAAAAAAGCACTTTTGTAATTTATGCGGCTCATAAATGCACTGAAAGCTGGGATTTTTCCCTTGTAAACCAGTCTAAAGGTTCCAAAAATGTTATGATTTCTAGGTCACTAATCAAATGTAATCACATTTGCGACATCAGGCATGCAAACCTGATGATCCATTCAGTAGATGACGATCCTCTGTACTAAAGTTCAGATATTCCTGCTTTAAACCAAGCTGAGAGAACCATCAGAACATCAGATTTTTCATTTTCCTTCCGCTTAGTCCCTTATTTATCAGAGGACGCCACAGTGGAATGAACCGCCAACTATTCCAGCATATGTTTTACTCAGCGGATGCCCTTCCAGCTGCAACCTATATGCAGAAAAAAATCAATACACACTCATACACTACGCCCAATTTAATTCATCAATGCCCCTATAGCGGTTTGGACAACCGGAGCACTCTGAGGAAACCCACGCCAACATGGGGAGAACATGCAAACTCCTAACAGAAATGTCAAGTGGCCCAGCCGGGACTTAAACCAGCGACCTTCTTGCTGCGAGGCCACAGTGCTAACCACTGATGCAACGTGCTGCCCAAGTACTACAGTATAATAGATTGTACTACAGTATTTTTTCTTGTGAGCTGGGTTTATGGATTACAAGAGGTGTAAAAGAATGAAAGAGTGAATCTGTTAATTATTGCTGATGCATTCGACTCGACTCACAAGACATGAGGTTAAAACAGGAAAAACATCTCATCAAATTTTAGCTACTGCCAAAAAAAAGAAGAAAGCCTTACAGAGCAAGAAAATATGTCTATTTACAAGTCTTAAATATAAAGAGTGAGATAAATGACTCTCTAAAAATAAAATCTATCTATCTATCTATCTATCTATCTATCTATCGTACGGGTGCCCAAACTAAACATACCTGTGGGCCAAAGGTAAATATCAAACTTTATTACAAAGTTGCCATGGGTAATTTTCTAATTATTTTGAATATTCATTCATTCATTCATTCATTCATTCATTCATTTTCTGCCGCTTTTATTTCAAAATAAATAAAAAAGCTTTATTTTTATTAGTTTTTTGTAGCTCAACAATAAAACAAAACAAAGGTTACGTTAAATTAGAAATGACAATCTCTATTAATTATGTCAATAATTTATTAATCTCTCTCTCATATATATATATATATATATATATATATATATAATAACCGGAGCCAAAGGAAAATATATCAAATTTTATTACAAAGTTGCCATGGGTAATTTTATTATTTCAATAATATTTATAAATAAATAAACAGCTTTACTTTAATCTTTTTTTTCTTCAATAAAACAAACTAAAGGTTACGTTAAATTAGAAATGACAATCTCTATTAAAGGCGTTCCCCCAACTCTCCCCTTCACTTATCTTGTCATCTCAGATCGGATGGCAATTTTGGCCTGTAGGCTCTATTTTGGGCATCTCTGATCTACAGGGTTTCTGCAGGTTTCACTAAGTCAATTTTAAAACATTTTCAAGACCTTTTAAAGACCGTGAAGAATAAAATTTCAGACTTGTATAGGGATAAATGCTAAGGATTTTTTAATGGCCCAAGAGAAAAAAAGAAATGTACTTGGCCTATAAGAAAAACAATAATTACTTATTTCTTAGCAACATATTTGAAATAATGTATCAAAAAAGCAAGGGTCTGCTTTTTTGATACATTCTTTGATACATGTAGGCAGTTTTGATACATGTAGGCAGTAGGGTCACTGCCTACATACATTTCTTCAATATAACTAAATGTACGCAAAACAGACTGTTTGGGCAGCTTTACAAAGGAAAATAAAGACTTGATGAAAAGGATTTAAGACCTACAAGACAATATTTCAGTGAATTTAGGACTTTAAGGCCTAAATTTTTTTTTTTTTTAAATTTAAGACATTTAAAGATCCTGTGGACTCTATCTATCTATCTATCTATCTATCTATCTATCTATCTATCTATCTATCTATCTATCTATCTATCTATCTATCTATCTATCTATCTATCTACCCATTCATCTATCTGTCCATCCATACATACATCTCACAATTATATGAATGTGTGCGAGTTCATTGAGTACAAGTGGTGGAAAAAAAGAGAACTAATTTCCAAAATCAAAAAGGTAGCCCAGCTAACTAGCTGGTCTTGACAAACTGCTAATAACTGCAAAGCATTTAACTCAACACAAAGAGATTAAATTAAAAACAGCAAAAAACATCTCATCAAATTTTAGCCACTGCCTAAAAGACATGCAGAAATTCCAGCAGTGCCTTCCAGAGCAGGAAAAGACGTCTGTTTTTACATGTTTTAATTATAAAACATGTAAAAAAAAAAAAAAAAAAAAAAAGACTTTCTATAGTGGTCCAGAGACCTTAACATGCTGCAATTTAAGAAAATGCATGCGATTACAAAAAACACCAGCAAACTGAGAAAAGATCATCTGTTTGACAGCACACATGCTGCATTTTCATACAACGCAAACAAATGAATAAAACGTGCTGCATTTTTTCACAACACTTTCAAATAGCACAGAACACAACAGAAATGGGAGCCTAAAATGTGACGAACCCGGCTATTTAGGTTATGGTTGTTTAGGCTGATAAAACACTAAAAACAAGGAAAATTAGGATACTAAAATAAACAAAACTCACCTTTTTTTTAGATCACCTACAACTTCTTCTATCTATCTATCTATCTATCTATCTATCTATCTATCTATCTATCTATCTATCTATCTAACTATCTATCTCTCTGTCTGTCTGACTATCTATCTAACTATCTATCTATCTATCTATCTATCTATCTATCTATCTATCTATCTATCTATCTATCTATCTAACTATCTATCTATCTATCTATCTAACTATCTATCTAACTATCTATCTATCTATCTATCTATCTATCTCTCTGTCTGTCTGACTATCTATCTATCTATCTATCTATCTATCTATCTATCTAACCAACCAACCATCATCTATCCATCCATCCATCCATTCATCTAATGAATTATAAATTTACTAGTAATACTATGAATGTGTTTGGGTTTACCGAGTACAAGTGGTGGAAAAAAGGAAGAGAACTGAAGCTACATTTCCAAAATCAAAAAGGTAGCCCACATAAACAAGTTCATCATTGACAGAAACTGCTAATAACTGCAAAGTATTTGACTCAACACAAAGCAATGACAACAAAAACAGTAAAAACAATCATCAAATTACAGCCACTGCCTAAAAGACACAGAAAATGCAGCAGTGCCTCCCAGACAGGGCCGGAGTGGGACTCCTTTTCAGCCCTGGAGTTTCAAGCCTCAGACCGGCCCACCTCAGTTCACGACTGACTATATTAAAATAAGGTCATTTCCAAATCAGTTTCTAAAGACACGATCACATCTTTTTTTGAAAAAACAGCTGCTTTAGAACTTCAAATGTTCAACAACCCTAACAGTATTATATGTCTTAACAATAAAAACGAAAACAATAAGTTGCTCTAATGAGGATCGAACTCGGGTCCGCGGCGTCTAAATCTAACATGTTAACCGCTGGACCACAATAGCTGTGTTCAGAACGGAGACACAACTGAGTTTTATAATCATTAAAATAGATGAAAAGAGAAGAGTTGCGGTAAAATAATGAATAAAAAGGCTGTGGTCAAGTAAATAAATAAATTTAAAAAGTGTGACTGCTGAGAGCAAAAGATTCTGGAGCTACGGACACCGGACCTCGCGGCCAAAAAACAGACCGGCCCACCGGGAATTCTCCCGGTCCTCCCGATTAGCCAATCCGGGCCTGCTACCAGAGCAGGAAAAGGCGTCTGTTTACAAGTTTTACATATAAACAGTATAAAAAATTAAAAAAAATAAAAAAAATTAAAAAAAGACTCTCTAAAAATATAAAATAAAAATTAAGCGGATTAAATTTCCCTCAGTTATTTTGAAATAGGCATGGGCCGGTATAAGATTTTGATGGTATGATAACCTTGGATGAAAATATCACATTTACAGGGAATTGTAATCACTGCTCTAAAATATATTTGTTTTAAATGTCTGGGTAAAAAACAAGAACTTTCTCCCGCTTTGAACACAATGTCTGCGTCCAAAATTGCATACTATACTATATAGATTGCTAAAAACAGTATGCGAGCCGAGCATGTCCAAATTCATAGGAATCAAAAAAACAGTATGCAAGTACCCGGATAACCTACTACTTCCAGCCACTGTTAAAAACAGACAGAAAATCCAGCAGTGCCTCCCAGAGCAGGTAAATCCATCTGTTTACAAAAATGACTTGCTCTAAAAAATAAAACAAAATAAATACGCTAATGCCCAATTATATGATGTGAAATATTTAAAATATGTAAAATGATTTATTAATTCAGTGTTTATCAGCATAACGAGTCATACATTTACTAACAATTCTATGAATGTGTTTGCGTTTATCGAGTACAAGTGGTGAAAAAAAAGATGAACTGAAACTGAAACTCCATTTCCAAAATCAAAAATGTAGCCCACATAAACAGCAGGTTAATAACCGCCAATGCATTTGATTCAACACAAAGAGATTACATTAAAAACAGTAAAAACATCAGCTCATTTCAGCCACTGCCAAAAAGGACAGAAATTCCAGCTGGAAAAGCCGTCTGTTTACAAGTTTTACATATAAACAGTAACATATATATGCTATAAGCTATATTGTGAAATATTTTAAATATGTGAAACAATTGATGAATTCACACTAACAATTCTATAATTGTGTTTGGGTTCGATGAGTGCACGGGGGAGGGGCGGAAAAAAAAGAAGAGAACTGAAACTCCATTTCCAAAATCAAAAATGTAGCTCACCTAAACAGCAGGTTAATACCGCCAATGCATTAGACTCAACACAAATAAATGACATTAAAAACAGTAAAAAATCATCTAATTTCAACCACTGCCAAAAAAATCCAGCAGTGCCTCCCAGAGCAGGAAAAGGCGTCTGTTTACCAGCTTAATAATAAACAGTGGAGAAAAAATTACTTTCGTTAAAAAAATAAATATAAAATATGCTGATGCATGCTCCCCCAATTATTGTGAAATATTTTAAATATGTGAAATAAATGATGAATTCAACGCATTTAAAATGGAAGCTCAAATTATCCATCTATCTATCTATCTATCTATCTATCTATCTATCTATCAACAATTCTGTGTATGTGTTCGTTGTGGAACCTACATGTTTAGTGTGTGTTCATTGAGTACAAGTGTTGGGGAAAAAAATGAAGAGAACTGAAACTAAATTTCCAAAGTCAAAAAAGGTAGCCCACATAAACAGCACGTCTCGCAAAAACTGCAAAGCACTAAATTCAACACAAAGAGATTACATTAAAAACAGTAAAAACATCATCAAATTTCAGCCACTGCCTAAAAGACATGCAGAAAATCCAGCAGTGCCTCTGGAAAAGATGTCTGTTTTTACATGTTTTAAATATAAACAATGTAAAAAATGAAGTTGTATAAAGATAAAATAAAATACAAATATGCTGATGCATGTTCCCCAAATTATTCTGAATTATTTAAAACATGATTTTTAAATCAACACTTCAACACTGATGAATTCAGTGCATTTAAAAGGAATTCAGTGCATCTATCGATCTATCTATCTATCTATCTATCATTTCAGTGAATGTGTTTGGGTTTGTTGAGTACAAGTATTGGGGAAGAAATGAAGAGAACTGAAAAAAGGTAGTTCACCTATAACAGCAGGTTTATGACTGAAACTGCTAGTGCCTATGTCTATGCATTGACAAAAACAAAACAATTGCATTAAAAACAGTAAAAAAAAAAAAATCATCAAATTTCAGCCACTGCCAAAAAAAAGACAGAAAATCCAGCAGTGCCTCCCAGAGCAGGAAAATGCATCTGTTTACAAATAAAAATACAAATTACTGATGCATATTCCCAAATTTATTGTGCAATATTTAAAATATGTGAAATGACTGATGAATTCAGCGCATGTAAAAGGAAGCTCAAATTATCTATCATATATTCTGAATTATATATTTACTAGCAGTTCTATAAGCGTGTTTGGGTTTATTACGTTTCGTTTTCAAGTGTTGGAAAAAAAAAAATAAACTCAATTTTCAAAACAGTAGCCCATCTAAACAGGTCTATCAATGAGAGAAACTGTTAATGAATGTCAAAGCATTTGATTCAACACAAAGAGATGAAATTAAAAACAGTAAAACATAAATTTCAGCCACTGCCAAAAAAAAAAAAAAAAGACAAAACATGGACAGAAAATCCGGCAATGCCTCCCAGAGCAGGAAAAGGCATCTGTTTGCAAGTTTTACATATAAACAGTGGGGAAAAATTACTTTCTCTAAAGAATAAAATAAAAAATAAATATGCTGATGCATGCTCAACCAGTTATTGTGAAAAATTTTAAATATGTGAAATGACTGACTAATTTCAGTGCATTTAAATAGAAACTCAAATTATCTATATCTATCTATCTGTTATGAATTATAGATTTACTTTTTATGAGCGTGTTTGGGTTTATTACAAGTGTTGGAAAAATTTTGTGAAAATAAACTCCATTTACAAAAAGGTTGCTTACCTAAACAGGTCTGCTAATACTTGTCAAAGCATTTAACTCAACACAAAGAGATGAAATTAAAAACAGTAAAAACATCTCATCTAATTTCAGCCACTGCCAAAAAAGACTAAAAAGGCAAAACAGAGACAAAAAAATCAGGCAATGTCTCACAGAGCAGGAAAAGGCGTCTGTTTACAAGTTTTATATATAAACAGTGGGGAAAAAATTACTTTCTCTAAAAAATAAAATATAAATAAATATGCTGATGCATGCTTCCACAATTAGTAAAAATAAACTCAATGTCCAAAACAGAAGCCCATCTAACCAGGTCTATCAATGAGAGAAACTGTTAATGAATATCAAAGCATTTGATTCAACACAAAGAGATGAAATTAAAAACAGTAAAAACATCAAATTTCAGCCACTGCCAAAAAAGACAGAAAAAGAAGGACAGAAACTCCCGCAGTGCCTCCCAGAGCAGGAGAAGCCATCTTTTCCTCAAAGTTTTTATTATAAAATAGAAAAAAAAACTGACTTTCTCTAAAAAATGTAATAAATATGCTGATGCATGCTCCCCAGTTATTGTGAAATATTTTAAATATGTGAAATGACTGATGAACTCAGCGCTTTTAACTGGAAACTCAAATTATCCATCTATCTATCTATCTATTTATCTATCTATCTATCTATCTATCTATATATACATATATTTATCTATCTATCTCTGTTATGAATTATAGATTTACTAACAGTTCTATGAGCGTGTTTGGGTTTATTACAAGTGTTGGGAAAAAATGTAGTGAAAATAAACTCCAAAAATAAACTCCAAAAAGGTGGCCCACCTAAACAGGTCTGCTAATAATTGTTTAAGCATTTAACTCAACACAAAGAGATGAAATTAAAAACAGTAAAAACATCTCATCTAATTTCAGCCACTGCCAAAAAAGACAAAACAGAGACTAAAAATCCAGCAGTGCCTCCCAGAGCAGGAAAAGGCGTCTGTTTACAAGTTTTATATATAAACAGTGGAAAAAAATGACTTTCTTTAAAAGTAAAAAAGAATAATAATAATAAAAAGAGCCCAAAACATGCTGACGCATTTCCCCCAACAATTGTGAAATATTCAAAACGTGTGAAAATTGTCTTTTCATGCAACACTGAGATAAAAAGCTGATTTCACTGCATTTAAAAAGGAAGCTGTGAATATTCTCACTTCCCACATGCAACTAGCTTAAATAATAACAATAATAATATGAACATCCGACACGTGTGACCATTACATGTGACTGTCCAAAGCATGACACTGAACACATCAGCTCTGCACCTTCAATATCTGCAGATGTGCACCAAAAAAAAAAAATCCATACACGAAAGGAAATGCCAGCTTGCTAAGAACGGCTTCAATATTCCCTTTCTTATGACATTGAGGAAATTCATAACAGCACTAAACACGAGGATGTAAACGCTGAAGTTTGTGTGCTGAAGCACAAACATGCGATTCACAACAACAGACAGTCGAATGCGAATATATCCCTGCAAGCAAAATTAATTGTAATTTCTTAATTTCTGGAAATATCTGCCGATAGGGGGCGCTAATTTCGCAGCCAAAACCGAAAACGACATTTACACTCTTAATTTCATCGATAATAACAAGCTTTTAGTATTCACACTCTTATCACTGGAAGCAGAATCAAACTTGACGAAGTTGCTGTCGTCAAGCGAGCCAGAAAACGCGTAAAGCCGGCCGCTTCTCCCCGCGGCCAGACAGGAGTGAAGAAAAAATTCAGAGGGAAATTCAGCAAACATGGCTGCTGCGTGAGCTTTTTGTGTTTTCAGATTGTACCCTACCCCGTCTGATTTCAACTCCGCGAATTTAATGCACGAAATAGCGAAGGATTTCGATGCAAACGCGAGGACTGATAAGCAGATTGAGCAATGCAACAATTCACCGCAACACACAAACTCGCCGCAAAACTTTTATTTCCACCAAGCGGCTCCGCAAAAGAAATAAAGAGAAAAAAAAAATCAACAGATCCATGCACTGCACGACACATTCAGATCCCATTTGCGAGAATTGTGATGCGATCTTACCGCGCGCACAAACATGAGCTCCGGGTGGTTTTGCGGATCAAGGCGCCCGTTAGTTACATTGTATCGTTTGTTGAATGAGGAAAGACGCGTGTGCTCCACTTTTTGTTACCTCCCAAAATGATGCGGGTCATGCGGAGAAATTTTCAGGGAATGGAGAAATCCTCCCCTTCGGATCTCAAAATGACGAAACGAGCGGGTCTTTCCGGGGCATTTTTTTTCCTCGCTTTGACGGAAAAGAAAAAAAACAGATCTCCAAAATTTGATTTGGGATGAATTTGAGTGTCTTTGCTCCTGCTGTGTCCGCCGATTCCTCACTGTGGCTGAGGTATATTAATGTTGCGGTCTGCCCCACGGACACATTCATCCGCCATCATGCAAGGGGAGGTTCTCAATTTGCAAATGCATTAATTTCACACAATGCCTTTATGAAGCTCATATCGCGTCTGCTGGCTTGTCTTTTAGGTTAGATAGGGGAAATCACTGATATAGCTTTCTTGTGAAAGCTAATTTTGCTCATTTAGAGCAAGTTTTTTCAGAGGACATTTTTAGTCAAAACTACTTTTTCATCAGTTTTGATGATGAAAATAATCCTGTTTGATTTGCAACTTAAATAAACTCGAATATTTGTGCTGTTTTAATATATATATATATATATTTGTTTTTATATAAGAATACATTTCTTTATACACAGAGATGCACAAACGTGCTGTGCTGAATTTGTGCATGTTTTGATTTGACAGAAAATTGCGATTTTTTTCAGCTGCACGTTTTGCACCAAAAACCATGAATAAATTATGAGGCGAATTTCGAATCAAAGGACTTTTATGCAGACTGGGCTGTTTCCTTTTTTCTTTTTTTTCTTTCTTTTTTTTTTCTCCACTTCTCCAACGGGTCTCGACTCTTCAGCGCCTCCAGCGGAGGGTCTGAGCACGCAGGAAAAACAGCACTCATCAAAATTGACAAGCAAATTTCAATTTTCTGGAAAATAAAGAAGAAATAAACGCTGATGGTGTTATATTTGAACGCTTAGCAGTTTTCCACACACATTTCTTCAGCTTCGTTTTATTGGTTTTACATAATGCACATATATTTGTAGACAGATGATGCTTTTCAAAATAACCTGAAAGCACATACTGAAAAAAAAACATTCAAAGATGATTCCTTGGTTTTACTCAATTTTTTTACGTTAAGTAGTTGCAAACAATTTATTTGGGCTGAATTTAAACAAGCAAATTAAGTTGAACATTATTACATTTAATGTGTTTGTTTAAATTCAACACAAATAAATAGTTTGCTACAGTTTTGCATGCAACACTTTTTTAGGCACATGCACAGGTGGCTTATACATGCTCTGCCCTATTTTGCAGATTTTTCTGACAATGAAGCATATTAAGATCCAAAACCCTGCTTAAAACTACAATTGTTCATTATATATTTATACATAAAACAAATATACAAAAAGTATTTTTTAAAAGCTTAACTAATCAATCGATGATGATAATAATAATAATAAATGAAGAAGCTTATTTTAAAACATTTAAACATCATACTGTCCCCAAACTTTTAACCTGTAGTGTACATGTGTATGAAGAGTTCAGATGCAAAAACCTCTAAATGCCGTCTGAAATTTTGTGTATGTTCAGTAATTTCACTTTTACAGCAAAGGATGAGTTTAAAGTGAAATAAGACAACAAAAACAAAGGAGGCAAAAAAAAAACAATTGTTCTCAAATTTCAGACAGCACTTAGAGGTTTTTGCATCTGAACTATACATTATATATATATATATATATATATATATATATATATATATATATATATATATATATATATAT